TCAAGATCTAAAATCTCAACCATGGGTGAGTTTTAATGAGAACTCATATCATTCTAGGTCTGAATCATAACATTCAATAGCCAAAAGAAAAAAGAACCAACTTGGCTAGATACACATGGTACTACGGTATACTTATGCTTAAACCTCGAACAAATGTCCTGCAATCATATAGCGTTCAAATGCTCTCTTTTCTAACTGCAAATCATTACAGAATGGTAATGTGCAGCTTAATGGCAAATGCTCCACCCATTCATCAGTGAAAACATAGCTAAAAAACATTGTATTGCAGCTACAGAATAAGGAAAAAGTGGTTCTGTCATATACTACTACATTTCAAACTTATGCAGTAAAAAATACAATTATTTTGTTCTCTCAACAAAAAAAAAAAGTTAAGTAAATCCTGTATGACAAAGTGTAGTTTACCATCATAATTGAAATATGGCAACATGATCTCTATTAACAACTAAAGTCTCACATACAAAATATTCAGAGGAAAAATATTTACTAATATATTTAGAGACAAGAATTATTCCATAGACAATATGCTCAATTTATGATCTATCAAATTAAAAAGAGAAGTGCACGCGTATACATTGGTGTGTATTATCAAGAATTATTCCATAGACAATATTCTCAATTCGTGTAGACTTTTTGCACCCAAAGCATATAATATGAATGTGTATTATCACCTCGACGCACAGTTATCCAGTTACAGAAAAGACCTCAAGAAACAAAAATATATTTACTAAATACAAAAAGAAAAATTTTTAAAAATCGAAAAAAATACAACAGAAAGGGACCAAAAAATTTCTGATAATAATAATATATAGAAACTTACCAAAAATCTCGACGCAAGTAAGCATGAATTAGCCTAATTTCAAATTCACAGATCCAGAATCTTCAGTATACACACATACAATTATAAATACATATATATGTATAGAGACACTCCCACGCGTGCAATAGACAGACGTGGATATGAAGTTTGACGAAAAGTGAAGAGATAGAGAGAGAAACAAAAAAATAAATAGAAAGATGGAAAGTTCAAGAAAATGGAATATACCGGAGGAAGAATGGCAAGTGTTCCCTCGATCAAGACCTTGCGAAATTCGCCTCACCGCCACAAACGATCCACCACCACCACCACCTCCTCTATCATCCATTCCTCTATTATTACTCTGTTCTCAATCAATTAATTTCCCGAAAATACCAATCTGAACCAGAAAAAATTCTCAATACGTTCAAATAACTAATTTCACCAACTCCTTCGAATGCAACAGACCGAAATTTGAATGCGAAGTAAAATCTCGATCATTTCCGCGAAAAAAAAAAAAAGAAAAAGACCAACGAGCGCGTTATTGAAGATTTCTCCGTTAGGGTTTCAAGATCTGTTGTACATTAACAAAAACACGAAAATGTCTCTCTGTATCAATGTATAGCTATATGCAGATATATATAATGAATATAGTATCTTTATTCGTAATTTCGTATATGAATGTATATATGCGGTTCACATAGCTTGAAAGAGAGCGAGCAGAGGTTTCTCTCTACATATTTTTGGTTTTACGTTCTCTCTGTACGGGATGGTGAAGTTCTGTTTGTATTCTTGCTGTTTCTTTTGAGTTGGGTCGCCTGCGCACAGCGCTTGTAGGGATGGACGGATATTGGAAGAGTAAAATGTTTCATTAATCACTGAACTTTGTACATTGTCATGTTGTGGTCACTCAACTTTGTGATGCTTCTGACTACTCACTGAACTTAC